TTTCGGATAGTATCGGAAATGTTTATTGTAGTTTTCTTCAGTAAAAGCTTTATAAGACAAAATATAATTGTTAAAATTGACAAATACCGCCAGATTGATTATTAAACAAGTTTAACAGAATAACAGATTAACAAAATGTGTTGTCAATCTGCTGACATAATTTGACTAGGTATCCTCAATAGAGATTTCTGTGAAAACTATTAAGATGAAAATATTGAGCATTTATGCTTTCTTCGGACAAAGAGTTAACTCAGTGGAAGATTTACACTTTGACGCATTGATGTAGCTGCGTGCAATTCATCTAATAAAACCAGATGATTTAATTATAACCAGATAATTTATTAGGGGTGGTTAAGATAATAATATACATATAAATCAACTTGTATCTAGTATTGGTTCTAGATAAAGTCCAATACCTTTTGTACTAGGTATCAGTACTACTAATAATACTTATACGATCCCATAAGATTCCAATCTCATACCAGCAAATACAGTCTATTTTTAAAAAATACACAAGGAATTGAAATGCATTTTTTTCAAAAAAGTTATTTTTTAAAATACATCAGAAACTTATTAACTTTCCTGCTTTAAAGAACTAGGATCTTTTACAATCATGCATTTATAATGGACAATAATTATTTATTTTATTTTTTAAATCACCAAAGAAATAACATTTTAAATGAAAATATTGGAATTTGCTATTATAATGTTTGCTTAGAACATAAATCCATGTAATCTTGCTGATAATACTATATTTAATCCTAGTTTCTTGTCAGCGAAAATTTTGCTTTTACACAACATTATTTCGTTTTTTTTTTGTGGTGAGGAGGTGGAATGCTTTATGCACCATCAAACCGACCGTCGTCGAAATGGTCTGACTCCCTCTTCAGCGACACTCATTCCCCCTCGAAACCGCTTTCGCATTACTTCGACGAGGGTCTCTTTTATGTTGGCATTTCAAGGTACGCTCTTGTTATTTTCGATTTGTGTCCAGACCACCACTTTTTTTTTACTTTAATTAGCTTGCTACTGCTTTTTAAAACCCTTCGAAGGGTCGTCTTCATAAGTACTACGGAATATACACTGTAAAAAGATTAGTGTAGGAGATTGATAAGACGCCAAGAGTGTAGAACTCTCAATCTAGAGTAGAAACATTGCAACTTAAAAAAAATTTCATATCATAAGTAAGGCGGTATTAGAATAGTGATTATGTTCTGCTTAATGAAGGCAGGAAACTTTTTCTAATGGAATATTTGATTACACTTGTATACTTCTCTTGGCTAAGTGCAAATTTAAGTACCCAAACGTGATGCGACAACAAGTCTCATGACAGGCCACATAGAGACAATATTCCGTCCCATGTTACAAACTTAACTTATTAAGATGGTAGGGAATTTTTATAATATTTTTAACAGAATATAATACAAACTTAGAATAATATATAATCTTTTGAAAAGTTTTGTTTTGAAATCTCATGAATCTAATATTGTTCTAATTTTAATTACTTTTTCAAAAAATGTAAGTAACATAGTTAGTTCCTTTTCCATCTTATTGGCATTAGTTCGAAAAGTAAGATTTTATGAACTTAATATTGATTTAAAATTATCTATCTTTTTAAAATAAGACAAATATGTTAAGAATTTATAAAATCCTTCTGACATTATTTTAAAATAAGTCAGTTTATAAATTTTATATTGCTTTTAATTTAAATATCTCATCAAAAGTGTGTAAGAGTCATAGCTTAGTTGCTTCTAGACCCTTTTAGTGTTTGTTTAAAAGGTGTGATGTTATAAAACTAATATTAATATAAGTTGGATTATTTTTCCAAAAGAATGTAAGTATCGCAACTAAGATAACTTTTCGTACCCTTTGACAATATATTATAAAGTTGAATATAAGAGCCTAATATTGATTTTAATTTTTTTACTTTATCAAAAAAAAAGTAAGAATGATAGTTAAGTTTAATTTTAGAGCATTCTATTATATTTTGAAAGGTAAGACTTTATGGATCTAATAGTGATATAAATTTAATAATTTTTTCAAAAGTATGCCAGAATCATAGTTTAGTTTTCTTGTAGAGTATTATGTATTATATCATGATTTTAAAAAATAACGCCTTGTCTTCACAAATGAATGTAGGGATTGCAATTTTTGAATCTACTGTCATTATTTCGTAAAGCTAGATATTAAGATTCTAATATTAACCAAACCTTAATTAACATATCTTTCTTAAAGAAACTAAGGATCATAGTTACGTTTTTGTTTTGAACGTTTTGGAATTATCTTGAAAAACGAGATGTTTTGATACTAATATTGATCGAATTTGAATTATATCTTTTAAAGTATGTAGCTAAAACTTAAAAATAAAGAGAATTGAACAACTCTTATATACCATTTAGATCCTTCGCACATTCTTTCTTATTTGCACAACCTCGTTGTAATTTTTTTAACGTCAAATTGAAATAATTTGCTTAAAACAAAATTAAAAGCATTTTATTAAAAAAGTATGCATAAGTTTTGATTATGTTAGTCATTAACAAGGCATAATATTGATCGAATTTGAATTATATCTTTTAAAGTATGTAGCTAAAACTTAAAAGTAAAGAGAATCGAACAACTCTTATATACCATTTAGATCCTTCGCACATTCTTTCTTATTTGCACAACCTCGTTGTAATTTTTTTAACGTCAAATTGAAATAATTTGCTTAAAACAAAATTAAAAGCATTTTATTAAAAAAGTATGCTTAAGTTTTGATTATGTTAGTCATTAACAAGGCATAATATTGATCGAATTTGAATTATATCTTTTAAAATATGTAGCTAAAATTTAAAAGTAAAGAGAATTGAACAACTCTTATATACGATTTAGATCCTTCGCACATTCTTTCTTATTTGCACAACCTCGTTGTAATTTTTTTAACGTCAAATTGAAATAATTTGCTTAAAACAAAATTAAAAGCATTTTATTAAAAAAGTATGCATAAGTTTTGATTATGTTAGTCATTAACAAGGCATAATATTGATCGAATTTGAATTATATCTTTTAAAGTATGTAGCTAAAACTTAAAAGTAAAGAGAATCGAACAACTCTTATATACCATTTAGATCCTTCGCACATTCTTTCTTATTTGCACAACCTCGTTGTAATTTTTTTAACGTCAAATTGAAATAATTTGCTTAAAACAAAATTAAAAGCATTTTATTAAAAAAGTATGCTTAAGTTTTGATTATGTTAGTCATTAACAAGGTATAATATTGATCGAATTTGAATTATATCTTTTAAAATATGTAGCTAAAATTTAAAAGTAAAGAGAATTGAACAACTCTTATATACGATTTAGATCCTTCGCACATTCTTTCTTATTTGCACAACCTCGTTGTAATTTTTTTAACGTCAAATTGAAATAATTTGCTTAAAACAAAATTAAAAGCATTTTATTAAAAAAGTATGCATAAGTTTTGATTATGTTAGTCATTAACAAGGTATAATATTGATCGAATTTGAATTATATCTTTTAAAGTATGTAGCTAAAACTTAAAAGTAAAGAGAATTTTGAACAACTCTAATACGGCGTTTACATTGGCCGAAAATGGCTCATTTTGAATGACTCATTTGAAAGTGTTTACATTCGTTGTATTTCATTCGTTCTCATGGTAACAATTCAAACTGAAATAAAACTACTAAACATTTGTTTATCTTTTTTGTAAATATGTCAAAACAGCTTTTACAAACTGTCAAAATGCCATGAAGAGCTTTCATTTAGGGTATGTTCAATAGATTCCTTTGCATTTGGAACATATGTGGACTGCATTCGAACGTCATTCATACAGAATGTGAGAAAATTGCTCATTTTGTGCTTGAAATTTTATATGCAAGAATGAGCCATTCGATACTCATTTTCGATTTTTTGACCAAAATGAGCCATTTTCGGCCAATGTAAACGCCGTATTATATACCATTTAGATCCTTCGCACATTAATTCTTATTTGCACAACCTCGTTGTAATTTTTTTAACGTTAAATTGAAATAATTTGCTTAAACCAAAATTAAAAGCATTTTATTAAAAAAGTATGCATAAAGTTTTGATTTGTTAGTCATTAACAAGGTATAATATTGATCGAATTTGAATTTATATCTTTTAAAGTATGTAGCTAAAACTTAAAAGTAAAGAGAATTTTGAACAACTCTTATATACCATTTAGATCCTTCGCACATTAATTCTTATTTGCACAACCTCGTTGTAATTTTTTTAACGTTAAATTGAAATAATTTGCTTAAAACAAATTTAAAAGCATTTTATTAAAAAAGTAAGCTTAAGTTTTGATTATGTTAGTCATTAACAAGGCGACCCATGCATTTCTATTTATATATTAGGTGTATTGAGCACACCTACACACTATCGATAGCACAACAATTTAGGGCAGTGCTCTCTACTGCATTTCAAGCTTAATACGGCGTTTACATTGGCCGAAAATGGCTCATTTTGAATGACTCATTTGAAAGTGTTTACATTCGTTGTATTTCATTCGTTCTCATGGTAACAATTCAAACTGAAATAAAACTACTAAACATTTGTTTATCTTTTTTTCTAAATATGTCAAAACAGCTTTTACAAACTGTCAAAATGCCATGAAGAGCTTTTATTTAGGGTATGTTCAATAGATTCCTTTGCATTTGGAACATATGTGGAATGCATTCGAACGTCATTCATACAGAATGTGAGAAAATTGCTCATTTTGTGCTTGAAATTTTATATGCAAGAATGAGCCATTCGATACTCATTTTCGATTTTTGACCAAAATGAGCCATTTTCGGCCAATGTAAACGCTGTATAAGTTTATTATTGCATATCAAGCATTGGGTCACCTTAAAGCTCTGTATGAGGCATGGTCACCTTATAATAGTTGGAGCAAAAAGTGCATAAGAAGAGTTGTGGCAAAGATGTGCAAAGGAAATAGAACAAGATGAGGAGAAAATCAAAGCAAGACATTGACCCAGTTTCGCCACAGAACATTGAGGGAACGGCAGTTAAAGTGCGTGCAATGCAACATGAAAGTCAAGGTTTGACTCGAAAATAAAAAATTAAGGCTAAAAATGTTTTACGTGAGAAATGCATTTTAAACGGAAAAGTCGTTGTTTTTTTAATTCGAATTATGAGTTAAGCAGTTTCGAATTATTCTGTGTTTATACGAGTATTGCATAAAAACAGTGTTGTGTCGTTTTTTTTTGTGCACAGTTAACTTCTTTAACGTAACCTCGTTTTTTTGTAATTTTAAAAGTTGTAAATTTTATTTACAAATTATTTTCAGACAATTAAATAATCACAAAAATTTTAACTTACCGGTTCTTTCGTGTTTTGTTGACTTGAACTTTTGTTATTTTGACTTACAAGTGAAGTTAATTACGGTACAATGGCAACGAGTCTGGTTGGCATTCGAAGTCACTTAAATGGATACCCCGGTAAGCGACTAAAGTTTTGTGATTCTCAGGCTCAAACGATATCCAACCACTATTGCTGGACAACTATTTCTTTTGTGAGAGTTGTAAAGGGATGTCTCTTCAAAATTCTTTGCATTTTGAGGAGACAATCGATACTTTTAATATTCGAAATTAGAAAAAGAATGTGCTTTGTTTGAATTGTTTTTCTATAACCATAACTATAACTTCATAATTAATGTTAAGATTGAGTTCATTGCCTGCGAAGAATAACAAAAAGTATCAGTAAAGTATTAGTACAGTAATTGCATTGACAGACGAGCGCGCTTAATTATCATTATGCAGCCTCAAATGATCATTTTAGAAATACCCTGACAGACGGTATAAATTATAAATACAAATTATCATTAAGAAGTTGCTGTATCATATGTTTTTTGTTATTGAAAAAGCGAGGGAATTTTAAATTTAAAATGGAAAAGCAAGAAAAATTAAAGAAAAAAGACGCCGTTCGTTCAATTTAAAACTAGAAATGTTATTATAAATATACGTTTTACTATGAAAACTAAATTCATAGCAAGAAGAACATTGTTCGCAAATCTGTATTGTTTACACTTTGACAACCAAATAACTCTTGAATTTTGTTCCAATTTTTTATTTTATTTCAATTGCATATGCAGCATTACCATTTCTAAAAACCTAAATGACGAATAAATTAGATTAAATTCGGTCATTTAAAGACCATACATGATGATCATTTAAATGTGTTAAATGAGTAAATAAATTATAATTTAGCCCCTTAATGATAATTTAGTTCCCGTCTGTTAATGCTTTAATACTAACGCTATGTTCCTTAAGGGCTGTCCATTTCGTGGTTCTGATTTGGCAACACTATTTCAGTGACATATGTAAATAGTACAGTCATCCAATACATCATATGTTCAGTTTAAAACTTGCCGTTTTACAATATCAATCGTTGTTAACCGCTGAACATTCTAAAGCTGTGAAAATTTACTATAAAAGTAATTTGATTTTTCGCATCAAATTTTCTAAGAAACTCAATTTTCACTTAATAGATTTGTTAAAAAACAAAATTGTTATATTTATAGCAATAAAAATCTATAAGAACGAATGAAAAATATATGAAATATGCAGGACATGCTGGTAGTTAGAAACATAGGAAACTTTGGAACATCTTTAAAACTTATGGCTAGCATTTTCAAGAATATGGGCCTCCGAATCAAGCTTTAAGCACTCCTTAGATTTACAAAGAATGTTAACATCTTATACGATGCTTAGGAAGCGGTACGTTTATGTGGGGCTTATAACCAGCCAGTTTAACCTTACTCGTGTCCATGCTTACTATACGTAGGTATGCTTACATTTACTATTTATAAAACATTTCGACATTTCCGAATTTTTAAAAAGGTCGACTTTTGCATATTGATCTATCTACATCGAGACCATAATCTCTAATTTGTAATTTATTGTCTTCACATTTATTATGACAAAGATATTTGAATATTTCAACATATGAAGGGAACATCTGACAAATTAATGTTGATCTATCTATGTACTAAATAAATACCACTTAACATAAACTTTCTAATATACTGAAATTGATCAAATATATGTCATAAGTGCCTAATCGAATTATACCTATGTTCTTTCCCTTGATATTAATGTAACGAATAAAAAATGAGTACGATATAAATGCTCTTAATTGAACATAATCACTGTAAGAAATACATATATTTTGTTTGATCTATTAAAGCGATAATAAAGCTGAAGTTGTATTATTTATATCTGATGAATATTATATTACATATTATTATATTTTATTTATATTAATATACAAATAATAACAGTAGACCACGTAATTTTTTTCTGAACTATACAACATTAACATATTTCAATTGTATAATTCAGATGTATTTAATGTACAGTCTTTACATTGCATTGTCCGATTACGTTGTGTCTCAAAGAAAATATTATTAACCCCTTAACATAATATTTTAAACTTCAATCCATTATTGGCAAAGGCCCGGTAGTTTCCGGCGAAATATGGTTTGTAGTTTTGAGCTTTAAGTTCATTTTTGTTGCTCGGTATTATCATTTATTCTAAATTATAAAATTAGCTTCCAAAAAACAGTGTCAAAAGCATTTTTATTAGTTTTCGAAATATAGAACCTTAGAAGTACTTCCCAAACAAAACAAAAATGCTTGATTTGGTTAGTTTTATTGATTTGGCAGTTTAGTTTGTATCAAATTTTATTCTTCTTAAAAATATTCTTCTTAAAAATTCAGATCAATAAAATCTGATTGACTGTCCAGTTTTAATAGAAGCTTTAGCATATAGTGCATATAGTCCGATTTCGACCAATCCAATAAACGAGGTTGATTTTTAGAAATCATGTTTAAGGTCTAAACTTTGAGTACATACATTGGAAAATAAACAAGGCTTTTCTAACTAAAATCTGTTGCTAATTCGGTACTTTATTCCATTTGAATATTTTTATTTGTATGGAAGCTATGGAATATAGTAATCCGACATTGATCAATTCTACAAACGATTAGATTTTGCTTTCGAAGTATGTGCCTGTGATGTTTTATACAAATAGATCAAAAACTGAGAGAGTTTGGGATGAAATAGATTGATGGACAAAATGACAGACGGAAAGACGCATAGACGTATGGACGGACAGGGCTACATGAACTCAGTTCATTGCATTGATCAACTCTTCCTTAATGCGTTACAAAAATCGTAATAAACTGAAAATACTCTTTGTATACTTTTTTGTGTAAAGGGTTTTAAAAGTAACAATATTTCAATTAATGAACTTGTTCAAAAGCAAATATCTAAATATCTAAACAAATTAAATATCGAACTGTTTTCACATTAGTGTTAAGAATAGTTTAACGAACAAAATACAATATCAACAAAAAATCATTCAAATAGTTAGCTCTTCTCGAAAGACGAAATACGAACTATATTCTTTGAAATCACTTTACAATAGAGGACGTATGCCTCTGTGGGGCCAATTTTTGAAATGTGCGGTCAACATCAGCAGATCCTGATATTAATCCAATATATAGTTTAAATTTCATCTAAGTAAATTTAAATAGAGACTGACAAGTGGATGTTTTGTTTTCTCAACTACCTTCGTATCTGTTCCAATGCGAAATCCACATGCAAAAATTTCTCACCGTATTTAATTCGTTTTATGTTTTTTAAGATAATAGAAAGAATCTATATATATAAAAAATGAATGTTGTCTGTCTGTCTGTATGTCTGTACTCGATGGATTCAAATACCATACATCCAATCACCGTGAAAATTTGAGAAATTATTAGGTATATACCCGGGAAGGTTTTTACAAATTTTTATTAAAATCAGAGTTGGGGTTTTAGGTTAGTAATATTTTGGTAAAAGTGTGTTCTATAATATAATTTCCAATATCACTTAAAACACTCTAGCAATCCTAGATTGTTGGATTGTGAGAAGTCAGTTTGGTTTTTACATTGTACAGTGTGTGTTTTAGTTTAGTTTTGAGTAAATATATTAAGTGAAATAGAATTATTTATTTAATTAAATTTATTAAAATCAGAGGGCAATACGTTTTATTTATCACCACAACTATGCCACCAAATCGAAGTGCCTTTGATCGAACTACAAATCAAGCAAAAAGGAGAAGAGAAGAACGAGCTTCAGAAACAAGTGAGCATAGAAAAACTAGGCAAGTAAGAGATCGAGTTCACACTGCTCTTGCTCGATCATTAGACACGAGTGAGCAGAGGCAAGCAAGGCAAGAAAGAGATCGAGTTCACACTGCTCTTGCTCGATCATTAGAAACGAGTGAATAGAGGCAAGCAACGCTGCAAAGGAATCGAATTCGAACGATACATGCTAATTTGAATTTATGTGGTTTCAATTACAATCCCCCTGTTGACGAACAAATCAACAGACTGAATATGAGTACTAAACGAGAGTCTCGCTAAATTACAAAAACCGCCATTAAACCAATGCGACACGAAGTACGCCGGGTCAGTTAGTTGTTTATAAAAGAAACATATTATAGCTTATGTGGCAGATATGAGTTATAGCTTTATTACCAGAAAATGGTACTTTATAGTACTTCAAAGAAATTATTTAATAAACGTGTTGTAGTTAGATATACTACTCAATTCAATTTGTCGATTTGTTTCGTCTTGATTCATATGAAGTATCTTTACACACATTATAATAATTTCAAACACCGAAATTCAAAAATCGTCATTGAGATGGGCAAGCCTTTTCATATTAATTTGTCTTATCATGTCTAACAAGAATACAAATATATATAATTTTTCACATTTCTTAAAAAATCCCTAAACAAATAACATTGTATTTTATAAATAATTTTTTCAATGCAAATTATTACTCATAATCAAGTTAGCAAATAAAAAGTAAAAATTTCCTGATTATGTCGGTTTGCAACAAAATTGTCGTTGCCCTTCAATAGTCTTATTAATAAAATCTTATTAAAGCGTTCAGTGCTCTTCAAAAGTGAAATAATTTATTTACATACATCAGAAAATAATATGTTCACAATTTATATATGCATATATAGGTATGTATATATGAAGCCCCACCTTTAAGAGTGTAAAGGTTCAATATAACACGTGCTACATCTACACAAGCTTCGAGACTGAGCGTATTTGCGTTATTAGATACAATTACTGTATGTGATTAGCATACCATAATCATTTGTTTACTTACATTAACATTATAATACGAGTATTGCGATACATAAGTCCCCAACATATAAACAAATGCATTTTGCTCACAAGTGATTAGCATTTGAATAAATTTATATGGAAAGGTAACTTTAAGTATGAGCGCCAGTGTGACCGGCTAAGTAAACTTAGAGTAAAATTAATTAATCTATTTGTGTAGCATTGGCGTAGGCAGGAAGTAGGTGAGTGAGAGAATGGGGCCTGGATGTAACCTGAAAGCTAATAATATAATAAAAACTCTATTATTGGTA